TTGTAGTTTATAATTTCAGAAAGTATTCATACGTCATGAATACAGCGGTTGCAGCCGGTGCTACGTACGATCGTCAGTAGACAATGTAATTGTCGTAGGGTCGTGTCGAAACAAAGATCCATTGTATCATTATTACATCTTTTCTAGCATCTTTTCTAGCTTTTCCCTTACACTTTGTTGCCCTTTAAAAATGCCAACTCTATATGAGATTCGCTTGTGACAATGTCAGCAGTATATTATCAGGTAGGCTATTTACTTTCTGTGGATTGCGGACCCCGCTAGGTGCACAATCTATATGAATAATATTTTTAATTTTATTAATTAGGTATTTAGTTTGTGTACTTGTCGATGAGCGGCTATGAGTGTAACTCAAGGCGACAGCCACCTTGGTAGGCAAAGTACTAAAATTCATGTTGATGCATTCTTAAACATGATCTGCCCGATTAACCAATTTAAAACAAAAAATTTAAAAAATACCAAGTCCTACTAAAAAATCAATAAAATTGCCCGGGAAATTAGTTATTAATTAAAATAAACGTGATGCAAATGGTATACCTATACAGTATACACATGTCACATATTGCATATTGTTGGCACGGCGGCCTGCGGGTGTCTTATAAGTATCAAGTATGTTAAACATTTTAAGAGTGATTGCTTAAACTAACCACGATGAACAAACACTTATCAAAAAATTCGCTGTAAGATTTTTCATTAATCTTCCGATTGATTCCACAGTAAGCTGAGCACTAAGAAATTATAAATTTACTGTTGTATGTCATACTGTCATAGATAGAAGATAGATGGATCTGTTTTAAATGATAAGCGATAAGCGTGATGCCTCGACTAAAGGAAATAGGTATTTATACATGGATAGATATAGATAGATTGTAGAATTTAACTTCTCGGAACAATTGATATGTACACGCCGATCAAACACATAATTGGACGGACAAGAAGTTAAGGTTGCATACTTGCATGTCGCTATAGAAACCCACAGGTCGCCGTGCCATAAAATATGTAGGTATTTAGATTTACAATTTGTACGTAAACAATTTATTTTTGCCGATTTCAACCCTTAAAAATCAAAATTTTGAAAATCCTTTCTCAGTGGAACTCGAAATTATAATATTAATCCATCCTCAACATTTCAATTCGATAACTCAAATAGGTTTGGCTCTGCGTAGATTATTGCTAAAGTAACTGTGACAATAGCGCTGTAGACATCCCACCGACCACCGACCGACACGCGCGCGCGCGCGCACACACACACACAACACCTTATTGTTTATTTTTATATGTAAATTATGCCATCTGTGAATTATTAATTATTATATAAGAGATAAATGCAGATTGTACAATATTACGCGATACGGCCGCCGCAATCCAGTCAGTTCGCACACAGCTGTCATCAAGACGCAAAATTTATCATTGTGCATGCCGGGCCGCCGTGTTTGTATTACATCGTTTTATAAGTTCAGGCACGAATCGCCAATTTTGTAATATTCTTATGTAAGGCGCAAATCGCCTCACATATTATAATTACTGAAACCGCTTTATTATATTGTCGTGCGCGAACCGCCGTACCTTTATTATTTGCAAAGGGCGCAATTCGTCATATTTGTATTATTTGCAAAAGGTGCGAATCACCAATTTATGTTATATTTGTTACAGGCGCTAATCGCCAATTTTTATTATTTGTTTTACTTTATTGTTATATTGTGTGCGTCATTTATTTCATCATATAGTTATTATAAAGGTGGGTAGCAGCTGGCCAGCGGTGCTCCGTCATAATTGTGAGTTTTATTTTATATACATATTTATTATTATATTACAGCTCAAATAGCTAATTATTATCATATTATTTAGCCATATTTATATAATTCTTAGCGGCTCAAATAGCTTGTTATAAAATATTATTATATTGTTTTTGCCTATTGGCCATAGTATTGTTTATTGTGTATTATTTTAAAACATATTATTATTATTGCGTATTATACAGCAACAGCAATTTATTACCAAAAACCTTGTTACCATTTTTATTATTATTTGTTTTATTGTACACACATCTACATACAAACACACTTACACACCCCACCCACACACCAGCACTCTCAGGTTTTGCTCGGCGACCCTGTCCTCCTCCTGTCGAGTGCTATATACAAATATACAATATACATATATACACAATACGCATCAAATTACACATCTGTCGGTGTGTGAGTGTTCTTGTGCGCGAAGTATTTTGGTGATCGCGCGTCGCGGACTAATATATTGTCCGTACCCGGCCCTAACAGTAACTTTCCTTCATATATGTATTATTATCTAGACTAAGTATTTATGTATGAATGTAGCCATGCAGATAATAATAATAATAAATAATGAACGAAGTAAAACAGACGTTGATACATTACGCAATTATTAATAAATTCTTAATAAATGTAATAGTATTTAAAATCACATAAACCATTAATGATTTAAAGACGTTTCATAGACAACCAATAGTTAATGAGTATCTATCTAATTGCTCCCGTGTATTCAATAATTCTAACAGTTTTTCCTACACCAAGACAAATTTTATCTTGAAATAAATTCTACAGGATTTATTACATTATATAAGTCTGTTCACAAGATTTTTCGATTTAGCTTATAAAAAAAAAATTAGATTCGACACGGGTTCACTGGGTAGTCGTAAATACAAACAAGAAATGTATATAATACGTGTATTGTACACAATACCTATGGTCTTATGTATATATAGGAAAAATAGATTCGACACGGGTTCACTTGTGGGGTCGTAAATATACCGCAAAAAATTATTATAATACATCGCACACGATGTCAACAGTTATATATTCCATATGGACCACCCTGAATCTTTTGAGTATTATAGTTCTGTTCCATTGTAATTTAGAGGGGTTCGGTGGACCTCGGATTAAGACATTTTTGGTCAACTTGTATACTTATTTTCTTGTAAGCAATCTCTCGTATTTGATACGGTAAAGATTCATTTTATTATTACAATTTATTTACAAATTCTACACGTAATATTTTCTACATACTATAAAATGTAGTATTTAGTAGTTTGGTCTTTGAAACTTGTGGACAACCTTTATTCTAAAATTATATAGCATGCAAGTAGATTAAGTTTATCAAATTAAAAATATAATACAAATTGATATCCTAAAACGGCATTACTCTATCAGAAAATAAATTTTATATTAATGCAATGTAATGTGCATAGACGTATAGTAATAGGATATTACCGGATACAATAATATAATATTGTATTATTGTCATCGGGAAATCTGGTCTTGGCCTAGGAGCACTCCTTGATAATAACCACGGAGGGATTAAGTCATTATTGAAAAAAAATTGAGAAAGTAATTGTAATACATAGAAATGTCTTAAGATAGTTAAATATCAAAATATATAACATATTTAGGTAATCTTATTCCTATTATGCGTCGATGCGTTAACTGCGTATAGGTATATTATTATGAACTCGTTTATTTGTCTAAAATTAAGAAGATGATTAATATTTTATTGATTCAATATAAATTAAAGACAATTTTGTCCAATATTAAGCATAGTATATTATTCTATTTCATAGTCGAACTCGCGAGCGCGAGTACAGGTGCAGAATGTTCGTGTTGCCCATCCTGCAATATTTTTCAGGCCAATGCCCGTGGCAATTCATTAAATTTAATAAATCTAAGTAGATAAAATGTATCTGGACAAATGTTTCAGTTAAATAATAAATTGATACTTTGTACAGATATGAAGAGGTCAGAGGCGGATTTAAGGGTTCAAATTTCAAATATAAAAAATACATAGCAACATAGCCACACAAATACTTACAAAGTTGTTGTTTGTATAAGCTTAACCTCCAACAATAATAAATGATATTGCAGTTTGCAATATAAAATGTATTTATTTTTTTGTGGTAAGTATGAATTTTTTTAAATATGTAAAGAAATTAGGTGGGCAACCGTATACATATCAAGAGAGAGCTAGGCCCCGTCGACATTTGCCTATACTAAACGACCAGACTACGTATCCATTGGTGACGGTATCATAAAATGTATTGTAAATGAGTGGTCGTATAAGCAACGAATAAAACATATACAGTAGAATCTCGATTATCCGTGTTTGCGATTAACCGTGCTCACTCTTCCGAAAATTTAAAAATAAGTATGGACTGTAGATATACATGTAGTTATAATCGAACATTTTATAGAAGTGAAGTAAGGAAAATTATTTCAAACCAAAAAAAACAAATAGAGTGATAACTTCACATTTTAAGCCCTAATAACTTGTTGTATACAATATTATGGATGTATGTATAACATTATTATACGTATACGTCTTCTTATGTATATTTCTAATTATAATTGAATTAACATTTTTAAAATTTCATTATTATAAAATTGTACCTATGTATTTCTAATTATAATTAAATAAAAAATTTCATTATTATAAAAAGTCTTGATTAACCGTGATTTTTATTTATCCGTGTGACCCCCTCCCCATCATTACCCCGGATAATCGAGGTTCCACTGTAGGTACTTTTATTTTGGTAAGTGGTAACGCCATATACCTATGCAGTGAATATAAATGATATAAATGAAGGACGAATTCTTCCAATGTACGTATTTATATTATAAAGGCTGTAATATATTGTTTATATTAAAAAATATATGATGAGTTCAAATTTTGGCGGCACTCAGTTTTGGAAGCGACAGAGTCACACTTATTTTGCAGGTTAGGTATTAACCGCTGGTCAAACGCTTAGGTCAACCATCGCGGCGTGTAATGCGGCGGCCATATAAATATTATTAGTTTTTTCTAGATCCGTAGGAAGGGAAATCGACAGAGCCAATCGCCGTTGTCCATGTCCGGTTTTGACCCATCCCAAACACGATATTTTCCTCCACCGCCGCCGCCGCCGCCGCCGCCGCCGCCGCCGCCGACGCCACCACCACCACCACCACCTGCCATAACCACTTGCCATAGTTCTCGCGCGTTCGCGGTTCGCATTACACATTTACACTTCGATCCCTTGGAACGTAACACCCTCTTGTTCGTGCTCGTCGCAGTCAGTCTCGTCCTTTTTTTTTTTTGGTCATTTCGAGGAAAGCTTGCGCTGCCCGTCAAGTATATTACATTTATTTAAAAAACAATTGTTAATATTATTATTATATTCGTGCAACATGAGAGCTGCACCGACGAAGATGTCGCTGTGCGCACTGTTCTACCTCGCTACCGCACTAGCCGTTGGCGCAGAAATCTACTTTGAAGATAATTTCCCCGATGGTATGTATAACATCATAAATGTATTATTGTTATTGTGGTGAATGTGTATTTGATGTCATTATACTGTTCCACAGATTCGTTTGAGACCGAATGGACGTACTCGGAATATCCCGGCAAGGATTTCGGAAAGTTTGTTCACAGCTCGGGTTCTTTCTACAACGATATCGAGGCTGACAAGGGTATACAGACGTCGCAGGACGCTAAGTTCTATGCATTGTCCAGGAAATTCTTGCCGTTCAGTAACGAAGACAAAAACCTTGTCGTTCAGTACACAGTTAAACACGAGCAGACTATTGATTGCGGTGGTGGATACGTTAAGCTGTTCAATTGTGATTTGGATCCAAAGCAGATGCACGGTGAAACGCCATACGAAATCATGTTCGGTAAATATATTAGTATAGTTTTTATGATTAGTTGTATACTTATATTTGGTATTGTTAGTACAGCTGAAAACTGTAATATATATACTGTACAATTGAAAATTAATAAGAAAATAAATATACCCTTAAATACGTTTACCTGCTTAGTATTAAAAGGATGCCACGCTTGCATCACAAGTTCACATAAGGTGGTGCACAAATAATTTTATAAGATACCTTGTAGTTTGGTAAAAAAAAATTGTTTATAGGTACATACCCAAATATATATTATAATATATTATAATTTTATAGGTAGGTACTTGGTAGTTTTTAAACTCAACTACCTATATATTTAAAATTACTTATAGGTTGATGATCATAAAACCATCCAAGCATTCTGCATACAACTTAATAGATATTTTATTCTGTCATTCTGATATAGACTTTTACATTATTGTTAACTTATTGAATATTTTTAAAGTGCATGTGGACAGGTTTCTGTAATGTAATGCCCATACATTTTCTGAAAATAATAGTCATGACCATATTTTTTTTAAGAAACAAAGAAACATTGGTTATTTTACTGATTTAGGAAATTTATCTCTTGTAATATTTTTTTTAAGAAACAAATTATAATTAATATTATCTGCTTTTTAAAATGCTATCCATTATACTTTTAGTACTGAATAGTTATATTACATTTATTTGAGTACCTACCTATTTCTAGAAATAAACGAGTTAACAAATTAAAACAATATAAATTTATGATTTTGTATGATTATAACCAATATATAAATATAGTGCATATAGTACTTTATATATAAGTATCTGTTTTTGAATGGTAAATAGTTTTCCTCATTAAGATACCTGTATCCTAGAATAAAGATCATAAATTATAGATAAAATATTTGTTTATATCCAATACTTGTACAGTTGAACATACCTATTCAATGTTTTAATGTTTTTAACGTTTATTTTTGAAATATCTCATTTATATAAATTTGTTTTTGAATAATTTATTTTACTTTTATAATTTACATTGTTTAAACAAGAATTGTGTTTATTCTAGGACCTGACATTTGCGGACCTGCTGTAAAGAAAGTGCATGTTATCTTCATCTACAATGGCAAAAACGTATTGATCAATAAAGATATTCGTTGTCTTGATGATGTCTACACACATGTTTATACACTTATTGTAAAGCCTAATAATACTTATGAGGTATTAATTGACAATGAAATTGTAGAATCTGGTAAATTAGAAGCGGATTGGGACTTTTTGCCACCCAAGAAAATCAAGGATCCTAAAGTTAAGAAGCCTGAAGATTGGGAGGATAATGCTACTATTGATGACCCTAGTGATGAGAAACCAGAAGATTGGGATAAGCCAAAACTTATTCCTGACCCAAATGCCACTAAACCAGAAGATTGGGACGATGAAATGGACGGTGATTGGGAGCCAGCAATGATTGATAATCCAGATTTCAAGGGTGAATGGAAACCAAAACAAATTGATAATCCAAAATACAAGGTATGAATAGATTAGAATCATGTTTTATATTTATTGATATTTAATTAAAAACAATGTATAATTAAATTTGATGACCTAATTTATCCTATTTTATTTAAAGGGAGTATGGGTTCATCCAGAAATTGCGAATCCAGAATACAAATACGATGATAAACTGTATGCAAGAAAAGAAATTTGTGGCGTTGGTTTTGACTTGTGGCAAGTAAAATCTGGTACTATTTTCAACAATATTTTGATCACAGACGACATTGAAGTAGCTAAAGATAAAGCAGATGACATCATCAGAGTGAGATTTGTAAGTAAAACTTAAAATTTAAAAATATTGAACATAATTTAAAAATTATTTTTATTTTTCTAGGAAGGAGAGAAGAATATGAGGCTTGCACAAGAAGCTGAAGAAGAAAGGTTGAAACCAAAAACGTCTGATGATGAGAATGAAGAAGGAGTTGAAGAATTTGCATCCACAACTGATGATGAGCACGATGAGTTGTAAAAAAAGGTCTGTGTGGATGATGTCATTATTCAAGTTGATATACATTATAATATTTTTTATTTTATATTTTATATTTTGTATGATTAGTTTAGGACTGTCACTTATTATTATGCTTTGTTAAACAACAGTCTCTAAAATAATTTAAATACTTAATCCTTTAATAAATATTTTTTTAAAGATAATATACTATCCAATACGCATTTTAGTAACAAGTAATTATATTTATTTCAGTAGGTATCTACCTATTTATAAATACCTATAAAAAAAATGTATTAAAAAATAAAAATTTAAACAAAATCAAGAGTTAAATATGGTGCATAATTATACAATTTATTTTTAAATGGTAAATATTTCTCTACATTAAGATGGTATATTATCTTAAAATAAAAATTATAGTTAGTAGGTATGGTGTTTTTTAAATATTTTTTTTAATTAATTGGTTAGTTACTTACACACACCTATAAGATAGGTAATAATACAATTTTTTGAACATGGTAAACGATTAATAATAGTTTACTTTTCTAACCTTTTCATGTGTAAAAACTTAAAACAATATCTGTCTATATAAAATATACTTGTAATTTTGATGTTTGTATACATAATAATATAAGTACACTACATAAGGTTTATATTATAAAAAAAAAAAATGTTTATAAAATAAAATTTGAATTAAATTTAAATAATATTTTAAGAATTTATTATTTGTTTTCATTTTAGTCTTATCCTTTGCAATTAATGCGCATATAGTTTTGTAAGTTTGAAATTAAATAGTATAATACGGCGTTTTTGATTTTGATTTATGTCGCTATGTTTGATTGTAAGTGCTAAATATTATTAGAAAAAATATATTCATTATCTGTGCAAAACAATGTTGTATTACTTTTACTGTGACTTGAATTCATTATTATTTAATTCTAGACTTTAAACTTTTCATTTTGTGCTATTAAGTTGTTTTCCCTAAGAGTCTTGCTTTAAATATTTAATATAATTCGGTCTGCGTAGGTGTTGTATTCTAAAATATTTCAGTCATAGGCGTGAGCACGGAAGTGGCTGGCCCAGCGCAATCTAACCTGCGAGCTTTACAATACTTGATATAAATTGCCACTTTAATCATACATATAGTAGTATTGCCTTATTCTGAGATCTAAGCATTGTGATGTTTGATTTATTTCTATCACAAGACATTAATATTAACTACCTTCCTATCTAATTAGATGTCTAGAAAAATGAAATTGTTAAATTTTTTATGGATATGATTACTTTTAATGAAGGAATTGGGCTGTCTATTAAAACATGTTGTTCAATTATGTTCCCCGTTATAAATCTTTATAATCATACTATAGCTTAGCAAAAAACATTTGTTTTTCTTGTGAATATACAAGATTTTCAAGAAAGAATTTGGAGTGTATCGGTACGTGTCGGATCAATTTTGAGCGTTCAAGATGTTACACGTGCAATATACAAGCAATACGTATCGAATTTTTCTTCTTGAAAATCTTGATACACTTTTGTACCTACTACCTACCTTAAATATAGTGGATAGGTACTATGTGATAACCAGACAACCGGTGAGTAAATGAAAGTATATTACTTATATCACTAAAATTCATGTTTTTCGTTGTTTTACATGAAAAAAACTTTTGAGTCGGATAGTGGATACACGTTTTGTGTATTGTGTTTCTGATTTTTCGTAAGGTTCTCGTTGTCATGGCTACTTTTTAACAAAAACATATTTATGATTCACATATTTTTCTTGTAGAGAAAAATTATCGAATATCACGCACTTTAGCACTTGTAACTTTGGTTTATTTCAAGGATTATAGGCTAGGAAAATCGTAAACTTCTGAAAAACTTCGGATATAATTTTTTTTTTTTTGCACCACCTGGTTTAAAAAAACTCGTTAAAATATTGTAATAGATACCTACATAATATTATAACATATTAACAAAATAATATTATGCTTGAAACTTTTGTCTTGCGTAGACACTGGACGCGTGATAAGCTACACTCTTAAGTGAATGTGTTCCCTTTTTGTGGGAATGTTTCAGATGTTCCGAACACAATTTGGGTAAAAATAATACAGTAAATAATATTGATAACGTTAAATGATAATACTCTCCAAATATTATAATATTATTAAGTAACCTTTTAATTCTCTTATATTTATATTTTCAACAATTACAAGTTACAACTATTCACAATTTGACGTTTACTTATTAGTAATTCGTTATTTTAGTATTCAATATTAATAATAATATACAGTGTGTGTTAATTTTTAAATTGTTCCCACCTACAATATATGTGTATTAGTATAATCCTCGATTAGAATTTTGCGTATAAATTATGATTGCCTATTTTACAATGGAGATTTTGAACAAGAAGGTAAGTTATATTCATCGATACTATACCATTGTTATAGTTTTAATGCCTATTTGCACTAAACATTTGATGAATTAATTGTGATCTAATGATCCCTTAAATAACATTTAGTGGCCCATAATTGGTCCATTCAATTTAATCAATTTTTTTACTACTGGCAAGTTATTGAAATTACTGTTAATAATATTGTAGAGATCCTCGGGTATAGAGTACCATTGGTGGACAAAGATAACATAGAGCTGTAAGCATAGACTGGATAATTTTCAGTGTTTTGCAGTGTAAATGTATCAAAAATGTATATTGTGAAATTATTACATAGAATATTCTCATCAACGAAATATTCTAAGTGTTCGAAAAATATATGGTTTTAGTTGTATTAAGACCAAACTATTCTTGATCAAAATTATCATATAAGTTCAAATTAGTACGTAATTCAAAAACTTGACTTGCGTGAAGGTGCTCATTCTTTTTGTTGTAAATGATGTCTGATTATGAGCTGTTCTGGGATATCCTATATAGGCCTACCCTCTACTTTTCTTGTCCTTTATAATAAGAATTATCGTTCTCGCGGAATTGTATAGTACATGCTGCTGACCCTCTGAAATGCTTACTACCCACACTTGTGCATTCATCTGTAGCTTTATTATCAATTAAAGCTCTACATAGTCACTAAATAATAGTAACAATATACACAGTCTTGCTATAGTTATTTGGTAATGTCAACACCAACCTTATGCATTGTCATATTCTTTTGTGTGGTGAATATCCTTTTATACTCATTATTCCTCTTACATCATATAACGTATTTGATTTTCTTAGAAATGAGCAAAGTATAGTTTAAGTATAGTATTGGTTGCTCCAATCTCTTAGTTTAAGCTTCTCATTGTATTTCCATTTGTATCAGAAATATTCTTATTGCTATACTAATTATCTTCCCCTCCAAGGTTATTGTAATAAGTCAATATTTGATATTTATAATTAACAATTTATTCATACTATTAATTTCCAAATAAATATACAGTTAAAAATATAAGATAACAAAACTATTTAGGTGCCAAGTACACAAAAATAAAATAGTCTATTATTCAAATTGTTTACTAATTAATATTGTTGGAATCTAACTAACAGAATAGCAACATTTGTAATACATTTACATTTGTTTAAAATGTATACAATTGAAACCTTAGCTATAATTTTTTACATAATATATACTCCCCTATTAAAAGTATAAGTGCATACTTTTTTTTGAAACTCGAATATCCTTCAAATTTTTCGGGTGCTTATCAATATTGAATCAAAAATATTGTTTTTGATAACCATTATGAATAAAGTTCCATACTTCATAATTTTGTATACATTATATTATGTATGATACAACTTTTGATTTCATTTATATCTTAGTCAATATCATCATATTTTCCATTTTTAATTTACGCTATATTATATAAGCAAAACTTGCTAAAAAAATTGAGTACCATAAAAACCGAACACAAATAATGTTCTTACCATCAGGTTTCATAAGAGATCGATTTACTCTAATTTTTAAACTAACAAAACTACATTTGATCTGCCGAGCATAAATTTATTCTGTTACCCACTTGTAAGACGGATACAGTGTTATGTCATCTTAAGGTCAAACTTATGAAATTCATCTAAAATACTAGACATATTTTTGTAGTACTATTTTTTATAGTTTAATACTTCTATAGTTAGAAAAAAAAATGTATAACTATTAAAATAATACATACAATATCTTATAACAGTTATGAAATATAACAATTATTAATAAAATTATACACAAATGACTAAGTAAAGTCAAAGTTTGGTATTGAAATTATGTGTTAGATATGTCCTGGTAGGGTGCTTAACCCAGGACTGAATGTGCTGAATTTTATAGCTATTGTTAAAATATTAAATTTGTTTGTAGATAATATAATGGAAGTGTTACCTGAACCAGAAATCAAAATTACATAATTTATTATATCAATGTTTAAATAATATAATGAAGCAGATACAGGGCGTATAGAAACTGCCTGAATGGCTCAAGGTTCGTACTTATACTTATACGAGTACTTACTGTACCTGTATTGTGGACATGGATGGAATTGCATGGCTTTTATCATCAGACTTCCAGACATTTGTGAAGTATATGGTGATACTGTGGATGGTATTGCAAACAATCTCATTAGTTAAATTATAATGTATTATTATTATTATACATATTATGTATAATATATATATTATTAATTTTTTTTTTCGTATAATTGTGACTCTGTCTACTATGGCTGTAATTATAATGTATTAATTTGTATAGTACTTAGTTATAAAAGTTTATATTATTTAATTTGTTAAAGCAATTTAATGTGTAGGTATTTGGAAATTTTATTTTTTGTTTATATTTCAATTGTTGCATTCATTAAGTTTACGGCAGTTTGCCGATCGGTACTGGCTATACTCTGTTAGTATTTTTCGTTCATAAATAAACACATAATTAGATATTATTTTATAACTAAAATCATAACTTTTCATCTATAATGTTGAGATACCTTTATGAGTGTAGTAATTTGGTCAACAATTTACAAATAAGTATATATATTTAATATTTAGGCATTATAAAATAAAATTAAAGAATAAATATAATTATGTAGAAAATATATACAGTAAAGTAAAACTTAGCCGTTAATATTACAATTTTAGTTTGTTTTATGACCGGTTTCCTGATAAGTACCTGAGAAATATGAATAATTAAACTTTCTACAGTTAATTGTTTATTATTCTTTTGTAAATTATTCAATTCGGCAAATTGTACTTTCAATCTTAATACTTTATTTATCCATAGATGACTAGTAATTATAAAACCTTTTTATATTAATTATTTGTCACAGTCATCCCTCAGCACACTTTTGAATATGGTTGTA